GGGGGGGGGGGGATCAAAACAGAAAAAAGGAAACATGCTAACTATGAGTATAGTCCCAGTCTAGGAGGTGCTATCATGGGGGCTGGAAGAAAAAGGCTTTGACTTGTCCTCCTCATTCTGTGCTGGACCTCTTGTCTACACCAAGGGCCCCTGTGCTGTTCTCCTGCCTCTTGGTGGGCTGGAGGGGGACCACGGCCCCCAGCAGGGCTTAGGGGACAGGACGTGTAAAGCTTCAGGTCAGCAATGGGACTTTGCCTGGGGCGCACAGGCCCCGGATGGCTCCGAATCCTCGATCCTGAGTGGACACTCAAGGTCCTCCAGCCCTGAGCTCTCCTCAGAGCCCTGGTTGAGTTCTCAGGCGCCTTTTGGCAGGGCGAAGCCTGACGGAGCCCAGAAGCGCGGGCAGCTGGCTCGCTGCTCTGCTCATTAGTCAGCATGGAGTTTTTGCCCTGACATCCGTGTTGTCCCCACTTTTAGAAAAACAAAGAAAACTAATTGCTGCTAATGACAGGGCCCCAAGAATCGGGCCAGGACTGAGTTCCAAGGCCTTGCCCCAGCCCGGGACCTCTCCGAGGAGGAGTGCCAAGCCTCGCAGCCACGGTCGAGGTGGTTGGTGTTTGAACAGTCAGGCTCAGAGGTTTCCTGTCCCTGCCCGCGTCCCTCCTCTGGGCTCTGTTCCAGCCTTCTGCTTCTCACAGCCACGTTTGTTTTGTCCAGTGCTAGTCTGTAAATATGAAAGGGTCAGAGGACAGACCCAGGGCAGGCCCAGCTTCATTAGAGAAAAACTCAAGTCCGAAAATGTTCCCTGTTCATGCCTAAATTGATTCCGTCCCAATCCCTGAGCCCGCCAGGCTCTGGCACAAAGCTGGCGCATGGCAGCCTGACCACAGCTCCCTGCCCTTCTGCACGCCCTGACAGAGATGAGGGTACAGCTACCAAGAGTGCCGAGAGCCACCTTCTTCTCCTCCCCCTCCTCCTCTCCCGCCTGTGCCTGGGGTTGTGGTATGGAGCAAGAATCAGGGGGCTGTACTCAGGTCTGGGGCCCTGGATCTTGGGACAGGACCAGGGCAGATCTGGGTCCTCCCCTGCCCCTGGGCTGCAGGCTGAGACTACTTCCAAACCAAGCCTGACCTTGAGCTCCATTCTCCAATGTCAGGGAACCTAGAACTCGTCTTTTCACCCGACCGCTCTGGTCATCTTCCACACTTTCCTCCAATGTCCTTGGTTGGGGTGCTCATCTCAGGGCAGCCTGCCATCGGAGGACCTGGATAGGGTAGCAGATTGATTCTGAGGAAACTGAGACTCAAAAAGAAGGCTCAGCCATTGGAGGGAAGGCGGCAAGCTACACTTTGTGGGTAGAAGTAAAGGTCTCAAAGTAAGGAAGATCCTGGCTTAGCCAGGCTTATTTCCTGCTTACTGCCAGGCTTGGCAGTACATGTCTGTAATCCCAGTGCTTCATGGGAGTTTGAGGCATCCAAGTTCAGGCCAGCCTGGACCACAGAGCAATACTTTATCCAAAAGAAAGCTGGAAGTAGTTGTCCATGCCTTTAATTCTAGCTGTTCAGGAGGCTGAGATACGAGGATTGAGGTTTGAAACTAGCCTGAGCAGACAAATTCAAGACTCTGAACTCCTGTTAGCCAGCAGAAAGCCAAAAATGGAGGATTGGTTCAAGTTCTAGAGGGCAAGACCTTAAGTTCAAGCCCCAGTGCTGGTACACAGCGCACAAAAAAGAACAAATATCCTGGCTTAGCCTGGTTTGCCCAGAGGCTGCAGCTAAAAGATGGAAGGAGGTTGGCAGGGCCAGATCACCTGGGGCAGGCCTCAGGCCTTGGAAGCCTTTTATCGGGGGGTGCTGTGTAGCTGTGGGGAGCCGTGGGAAGGCCGCAGGGGCAGAGGGCAAGTGTCAGGAGGAAGTGGCAGATCTCCAAACTGCAGGGTGGCCTGCACACTGACCGGTCAGAGACAAGAGGCCATCTTCACCCAGAAGGTGGCACTGCTCACACTGGAGCAGAACCACGCCCCAGCGGCGGTGCCACCACAAAGGTGAGCTGAAGGCCAGCCAGTCGCGGGCCTGCGGGCGTGTGGCAAGCACTTGGCAGCCCATCAGGCGGGTCCGCAGGAGCGGCCCCAGGCTGCGATCGGGACTGCAGAGCCTTGGCATGGCTGACCACCTTCCCTTCCTACTCCCTTCCCCACGTGTGCAGAGATTGTGGACGGCAACGCAAAGATGACCCTGGGCATGATCTGGACCATCATCCTTCGCTTCGCCATTCAGGACATCTCTGTGGAAGGTGAGACTCGCGTGCCCTCGGCCTTCTGCTCAGCCGCATTCCTTCTCTTTCTTGGGGCTGCCAGCGGCCCACCTCTCCCGCAGCCATTTCTGGCTGCTGGGTGGAGGAGGCAGTCTGGTGGCCCACCCAAAGCCCCTTGAGCTGCCAGCTGCCAGTTTATGGACCGTCTACTCCGCTCATGAAGCAGCCTGGGCTGCTGGTTCTGTGCTCAGGGGCTCCTAGGGCCCCCGTCTGCAAGGAAGTGAGGCCAGGACTCGTGTCCAGGGCTCTGTTGCCAGTGCAGTGGTGGCTAATGGCGGGCTCTGTGATCAGCTCCTGACCCTGCCGCTTCCTCCGGTGGCCTTGGGGCTGGGCCCATGTGTTGCGTTGCGTCGTTGGGAGGTGCAGCCCCCTCTCCCTGGGCGCAGCACGGGCCGAGTTCTACAGTTTGTGGTTGAGCCAGCCTCGCCGGCCTTGTGTGTGCATTGCAGAGACCTCGGCCAAGGAGGGGCTCCTGCTGTGGTGCCAGAGGAAGACGGCCCCGTACAAGAACGTCAACGTGCAGAACTTCCACATCAGGTAGCGACACCCCCCACTGCGTTCCCGCCCGTCTCTGCTCTTTCTCCCAGCCCTCCGTGAGTCCCTTGCCTTAGCAGCCTTTATATGGTGTCGGGCCCACACTTGTCAAGGTGAGCAGGACTCGGTCCAGCCATGAGACCTGCTTCCTTCCAGGACACACAGGACACACCTCACGAGATCTGCAGATCTCTCGATCCCTGCCATATGCTCGGACTCCGCAGGGCCCACGCTGAATACTCAAGACCTTTACCTTAGGAGCCTCCCCAGTCCCCTTGGGTTGATTGCTAGCGTTCTACCACTTGAGCCACAGCGTCACTTCCAGCTTTTTTCTACTTATGTGGTGCTGAGGAATCAAACCCAGGGCCTCATGCATGCGAGGCAAGCACTCTACCTTCCCAGCCCCAATTGCAGAATTCTTTAAGTAACTGCTCCTACATGTAGGCTTCAAGAAACTTACCTCTTTGCTGTTTTTATGGTATTAGATTGAACTCGGGGCCTCCTAGGCAAAGCACTCTACCACATGAGTCTTTCCCCCAGTCCTTTTGCTTTAAGTTTTTCAGCTAGGATGAGAGCTTTGGACCAGAATGAGGCTGCAATCCTCCCACTTCTGCCTCCTGAATAGTTGGGATTACAGGCACATACCACTGTGTCCAGTTTATGTTTGAAATCCGATTTCTCTAACTTTTGCCTGGATTGGCCTTAGACTGATCCTTTATCTGCCTCTTGAGTGCTGAAGTTCCAGATATGAGCTGCCACTCCTGGCTCAGTCTTTTATTGTTTGTGTTGTTTGAGTAGCCACTGGTGCAAGTATGTATACCTGAGCCATCGTAAGGTTTGAGCTCCGGGCCTTGTACTTACTGGGCAGGCAGTCTACTACTTGGCCCTGTCGGCTGTCCCAAGCCTCTCTCTTCAGATGGTAAGGAAACATTTGCAGATGCTGAGGAAGGGAAGGCTTTCAGGTGCCCTTTGCTGGGGTGGGTGTAGTGCAGGAGTGACAGACAGTGCCCTTCATCATCCGGGTCTGGGTCAGGCGGCGTAGTGAGGGCGGGTATCTGCGCTGCGCTCTGTGTCTCTTTCCTGCTGCAGTGGCTCATTTCATTTGATTTTTTTTTTTCCCTTTTGGTGCCTGTCCTGGTGCATGAACCCAGGGCCTGGGTACTGCCTTTCATCTTTTGAGCTCAAAGAACACGCTCTACCACTTGAACCACAGCTCCACTTCTGGCTTTTTGCTAGTTAATTGGAGATGAGAGTCTTAGGACTTTTCCTGTTCTAGCTGGTTTGAACCATAATCCTCAGATCTCAGCCTCCTGAGTAGCCACTGGTGCCTGGCCACTCATTTGCTTGTTTATTGAGTCTGGGGCCCTGTGGACTGCTTGCTGCTTCCACAAGGTGGGGGGTGCAGCCCCTCCCTACCCCCGATCCCGCTGTAAGGAGTTTGCCTACAGAGGTGCCATGCACAGCTGACAGAACAGAGCTGGGTGGGAACCAACTAAGCCAGCGCCTCAGGTCAGCGGGCCCTTTGTCCCTCCCTGCGGCTCATGAGGAAGGTGTGACATGGTGGGGCCATTTTCTTCCTGACACCCTCCGGCCGCACCACATCCGGAACCCTTTATAGCCTAAGGACTGGCCCTCGGGTGCGGTCAGCGAGGCCCTGGCGTCACCAGGCAGGCCATGTGCGTCCAGCAGCCTCACAGCACCGGGGCTGTCACAGCCTCCGTCTCGATGCTTACTGATAGCGGCCCTGTGGAGTAGCTAACTGACCCCATTTTGCAGTCCTGGACATTGAGGCAGCCAGGGATTATGGGAGCTGGCCCCAGGCTAGGTGGCATCAGCTGATCCAGCAGTGCCTGCCACATGCCGAACTCTCCATAAATGGCCCTCGTCACCTGTGCCTTTCCTCTCCAGCTGGAAGGATGGCCTGGCCTTCAACGCCCTCATCCACCGGCACAGACCCGAGCTTATCGAATACGACAAGCTGAGAAAGGTACACGTCTCCACGCTCTCCCCCCACCCCCTCCAGCCTTTACCCCAGTGTCCACCGCCTGCCCTCTTGGAGCTCCTGGCCTTTGTAGCAAAGGCAGGGGACTGTGTCTAAAGTGATCAGTTACCTTAGGTCAGGCATCTTGTCCAGGCCACAGTGGGGTGGTGCCCCTGAGCTGGCGTGGTCAGGAAGGGCCCTGGCAGGGGTGGCGAGAGTGCGCCTGGCCCACCCTGGCCCCATGGGAGGGGGATGTGGCTCTGGCTGGAGGTGGTTGGGAATAGTGGGGAGCCCACGAGGGAGCGGGCACTGGTCTCCGCGGCGGAATGAGAGTGCTGCCGGGGTTCCAGGGCAAGGGGGTTCCTCTGAAGTCTGTGGGTGACTAGAAATTCTGCATTTTCTTGAGAAGAAAAGGTCCATGGCTTGCCCTACTCGGGGTAGCAATTGCCCTCCTCCAGGCACCCCCCAGTTCCTGCCCAGCACACACATGGCGGCTGAGGATTCCTAAGAATGCATCCCAGGCCAGCCCTGTGCCCTCTGCCCCCTGCGTCCTGCTGATGGAGTTCTTCTCTTTCCCCATCCGCCTCCCAGGACGACCCAGTCACCAACCTAAACAATGCCTTTGAAGTGGCCGAGAAGTACCTGGACATCCCTAAGATGCTGGATGCGGAGGGTGAGTCCATCTCTTCCATTGCATCACACGCGTCGCCTGAGGGCCTCCTCGTCTCTTCCGCCTGGCTTTGGGCAAGGGCGCGTGGACCGGCCTGAGATCAGGGGTCACTGCAAGGAGCCAACAGAGCCACCAAGAGGAGCCGAGTGGACCTGGGTGCACAGGACAGGCAGGCTGGCCTGTCATCCTGGGAGTCGTGGTGGGGACCACCCAAGCCTACACTGGCCAGTTGCAGTCGGGGATGGAGTCGGGCATGGACGGGAGCGCCTGAAGGATCAGCTCTCTGGGATGTGTGGCTCCCAGCTCTCGCCACCCTGCCTGCCAGACTGGAATGTTGTGTTTTTTCCTTTTCTGGATTTCCTCCATTTCCCAGCCAGCACCCCTTCCTCCCCTCTAAGCCATGACCTGTGGCTCCGGCCTCCCGTGGCCTCGGGAGTTCACAACACAGAGCCCCTGGAGGCCATGCTCAGCGAAAGGAAGCAGCCATTCCCACAGCCCCTGCTGGAGACCCGGGGAAGAGGGGGCAGGGGAGGAAAAGAGGAAGGGAGGGGCAGCCGAGCCCCTGCCACACAAGTGCCACCGAGGTCCTTCCCCGAGGCCTGGCCGAGCCTGCGTCCACCCCACCCCCCTGCTCGGGCGGTTTAACCCTTGTTGTTCACTTGCAGACATCGTGAACACGGCCCGGCCCGACGAGAAGGCCATAATGACCTATGTGTCCAGCTTCTACCATGCCTTTTCGGGAGCGCAGAAGGTACCGGGCACGGAGGCAGGCCCTCCTCGCCGCCACTGCCCCATGCCGCCGCTGCGCTCGCCTCCCAGCTCACCTCATTTCTCTTGCAGACGGCAGTGGCTCTCTCTGACTGGAAGCCACTCCCACTCACTCCTGGGCACAGCACTGGTCACCTCCGCAGCCTGTGCCCACAGAGCCCCTACTCAGTAGTGCCAGGCTGTGGGCCAGGGAGTGGGCACATGGTTAGGCCCAAGGCAGGCAAGCTCATGGCTAATCCCGTGGAGTAACAAGGCAGTGGAGGACAGGGGAGGTTGCCAGATGAAGATTAGGGCAAGTGCAAAGGCCCTGAGGTAGGAATACGCTGGGCTTCGGAATCAGTAGAGGGTAAGGACGCAGGCAGCTCACTGGCCATGAAGTAAACAGATGCCTCACACCCCGAGGGCCTCAGTACCTTCAGATTTGGGGGAGGGGGTCTGGAGTTGATAATTGAGGCAGTCGTACTATGTAGGTAGTACAGGTTGCCTTAAACTTAGAATTCTCCTGCCTCAGTCACCTGACTGCTGGGATTATAGGAGTGAGCTCCATGCCTGGCATTATTAAGGGGTTCTATCTGAAGGTGGGAGATACACATGAAATGATCCTACTTAGATTTTCGGTCCTCAGTTTGAGTCTGACTCCCCTAGCCCATGTACAGAGGCAAACCCAGGCCTGATAGACGAGGAGGCCCCTCGCTCACAACCTCGTCCCTCGTTCGCTGCAGGTGGGCAGGGAAGGACGCGGCCGCCCAGGCTTGAGCTGGGGCTGGCTTCCAGTCCCGAGCAAGCGCTATCCTCCTGCATGAGCCTCGGGCCCGCCGCCCGCCCGCCCTCCTGCGTCTTTCACTCTCTCTTGCCTCTCTCTCTCTCTCTCTCTCTCTCTCTCTGCACAGATATTGTGGGCACTCTGAGGCCAGATGAGAAGGCCATCATGACTTACGTGTCCTGCTTCTACCACGCTTTCTCGGGGGCCCAGAAGGTGAGCTGGGGCAGCGGACCCCACGCTGCTGTGCCTTGCACACCTGCCCGCTGTCACCTGGCATCTCACCATCTGTCTGTCTGGCCGTCTGTCAGTCCGTCCATCCCTCCCTCCCTCCCTGTGCACTCACAGTCCTGGTTCTCTTCCGAGAGTAGAGCTGCCTAGTGAAGCAGGGGTGTGCCCCAGGGTCTGCATGTGACAGCCCTGCCCCTCTGGGGAGCCCCCCCCATATCTGTGTGGAGGCCCCCCCCCTGCTGGCCAGATTTCCGTTGGACAGTGGGTGGAGGAAGCATTGAATCTGTGAGCCCAGCAGGGTTCCTTAGCCCCCTTGGAGAAAGGAAAGGAAGTTCAAGTTCTTAAAATTATTCTGTGGCCAGCCAGTCACCCCGTGTGGTCACTCTACATGGCCTGGCTTGGCCTGCTCTGCTGTCTCTTGGGGTGTGGCCAGGCCCTGGGGGGGTGGGGGGTGGTAGGGTCCTATCAGCCCCTGGTTCAGAATTGTTCTCCAGTCGTGGGGCTGCCAGCAGAGGGCGCTGTCCAGCCAGGCCAGGGGCTGTCTGGTTCCGGGCCATATCACCACCTCACCATGTCATTAGCCAGTGGCTAATGAGTTTTGCTTAAAGAACAGGCAGGGAGCAGGGAAGACCTGTGTCCGTGCAGGGAGGAAGGCTGAGTGGAGACTGGCTCTTGGGAGGTTCCTAGCCATGACCCCTGACCAGCAGCGAGGCCATGTTGCGCTCCCTCCCTTCAGGCCCCTTCTCACACTGATTGCTTTCCTGCCTGAAATGCCCCCTTTGCTTGGGCTGAACTTGGGAATGGAGGCCTCTAGGACCTCCGTAGGGGATTTGTGGGAGCAGGAAAGCCCAGGTCAGAGTGTGGGAAGATTTTTGAGGTGGCTGAGCCCCTCAAGCTTGTTGCTGGCCATCCTGCAGGAAGCTCAGGGCCCCTCGGGGAGCAGAGTGCTATGACTTGGCCTCGGCAGGCAGCCTTGCTCTGTCGATTCCTCAGTGACTTCAGAGGGGGCCTTTTGTTTCTGGTGGAGTGAACCCCAAGTGTCTGCCCTTAGCTGGTTTCTAGTCACTAAAGGAACCACTCTGAGCTCTGATCCGGAGGCCCGTGGCTTTTGGTATACACACAGATCTGGGGATGTCTGTGCAGTTGGGGGTCAGCAGCTGACCCCTGGGATGCCCCCGCCTCCGCATCCTGCCTGCCTCACGGCCCCGCGTGTGGCCTGCAGCATGGTGCGGCCTCGCCTCGGCCGCGGGGCCTCCCTCCCCGCTTGCCCCCGTGTGGTGCATGGATGGTGACGGGCAGTGCCAGCTCCCGAGCCTCCGGTTTTCCTCTCCATCGCTGTAGACCCTCCTCACTATTTCTGTTCCTGTTCTGTTGCCGTTCCAACTCCTCTGGGACCCTTTCTGTGCTTCCTAAAAGGTACCTGGTCTCCTGTGTGACCCTCCACACCTCACCCTCCTGCAGGCTGCACCCCTGTAGTTGTGGACAGGGCCGCCTCTCCCACTTGCCCCTCCCCCCAGCTCCTGAGGGCGCAGACCCGCCTGTGAGGGCTGAGGAAGGGGGCTGAGCGCGCTCAGGGCACCAGCACCCCTTCTGCCTCCCCCCCCACCTCAGCTGCCTTTCCACCCAGGACATGGGACTGACCACCTCACCTAGCCGTGAGAGGTCTCCCCATCTTTCCTCTGTGCCCAGCTCTGTTCACGGGCTGCTCAGCCATCTTGCAGCTGCACTTCCTCTCCGTCCCCTCCTTGGGGAGTTGGTGTGGGCTATGGACTGTGCTTTTGAGGGGCGTGCTGCTCAGGAGGGAGGGGCTCCAGCCCCAGGCGGCCCTGACTTTGCCCCTGCTCTAGGCTGAGACCGCCGCCAACCGGATCTGCAAGGTGCTGGCTGTCAACCAGGAGAACGAGCACCTGATGGAAGACTACGAGCGGCTGGCCAGCGACGTGAGTGCTGCCCGCCCCCCTCGCCCACAGCCACCCCAGAGTTGGACCCAGTCCCTGGGTGGCCTGTCATGTTTGGCCTCAGAAGGCAGAGGGTCAGACTGGCAGTCACCATACCAGCGGGCTCTGGGTCATACACTGGAGATAGGACGATCGTTTCCCCTTGTGAACCACCAGCTCCTAGGCTAAGACTTGGTGAACCCCAGACATTTTGTGGTGTGCTGTGGGCCTGTCCCGGTGTCACTCATAGTCCCTGAGCCTCTGGGTTCTTGAACAGCCAAACCTCGAGGAGCCAACAGCCCCAAGTCATGTGACTGCCTGAGGAGTGGGGTGGGGGACATATCTCCAGAAGTCTATGGGATCCCACCGGGGTAGGGAGCGGGGTGCCCTTGGGCAGTGGGCAGCCCTAGCAGTGCACTGAGCACCGGTGCCAACGCCGTCCCGGCTTCTCGGGCGCCCACAGCTGCTGGAATGGATCCGCCGCACCATCCCCTGGCTGGAGGACCGCGTGCCCCAGAAGACCATCCAGGAGATGCAGCAGAAGCTGGAGGACTTCCGCGACTACCGGCGCGTGCACAAGCCGCCCAAGGTGCAGGAGAAGTGCCAGCTGGAGATCAACTTCAACACGCTGCAGACCAAGCTGCGCCTCAGCAACCGGCCGGCCTTCATGCCCTCGGAGGGCAGAATGGTGTCGGTGAGCGGCCACCGGGGCTGGGGGCGGGCAGCACCCGTCCAGTGGTGGGGCTGGGCGCCCGCAGCACGGTGATCATGAGGCCCCACGGCCTGCAAGGCCGGGCCTCCCTCTCCCCCACTCCCTCCACACACAAGGACACCCAGAGCTTATCTTGGCTTGTGTGGCCGTTGGAGTTTGGGCCCCTCGCTTACCAGGAAGGGGCTGTGTGACCTGGATAAGGGTCCCTAACACTGGGAGCCTCCTCTGCGCCATCTCTCCATCCGCTTAGTGTCAGGACTCTGTGGCGCTGCACAGGCCTCCCGCCGGCTGCCTACCCCTGAGAGCCCCGTGTGCCTCCCCACCCCCCAGGACATCAACAATGGCTGGCAGCACCTGGAGCAGGCCGAGAAGGGCTACGAGGAATGGCTCCTGAACGAGATCCGCAGGCTGGAGCGGCTCGACCACCTGGCAGAGAAGTTCCGGCAAAAGGCCTCGATCCACGAAGCCTGGACTGATGGTGCGCCCCTCCCACCGGCTCCGCGCCCGGCCCTGCCCAGCCAGGAGCGCCACTGATGCCTGGCTCCTCCCAGCCAGCCCCAGGCAGCCAGGCGAACTGGGGGCCCGCTCTGCCCAATGGCCCAATGTGCTCAAGCCTCAGAGGCCACTGGCAGCAGGGCTTTCCTAGGACACAGCCCATCCCTTCTGTGTGGCCTCTCTGAGGACAGCTCCCATCCTTAGTGGCTGTCTGCCTCCAGCGCCCTACCTGCAGGTGGCGCTCTCCGGCCACCTGCTTGTCCTGAAAGGGTAGCATTGCCTGAGAAAGCTAGCGCCATCTCCAGGCGGGTGTGGCTTAGCGGAGGCCTGGGCTCAAACCCTGAGCTGGCTGCGTGCGTGACTCCTCCTTGTGCTTACGGCAGCCTCCCTCCCGCCTCCTGCCACCGCTTCCCAGCTGACAGCACTTCCTTGCCTACTCCCTGTGGCTTCCTGTGCCCCCCACCCCCCAGCCCTCCTCACGTGGACAGGCCGCCCCACCCCTGCCCAGGGGAAGTGGGCAACGGCACAGGCCCAGGTGGCGCCCACATCACCTGATTCCCTGGCTCTACCCAGAGCAGCCCTCAGCTGTGGGAAAACAGGGCCAGGCAAGGGCCTGTGCCAGGACGTGTGTTGGCAGTGGTGCGCTCTCGTGGGGGGAGCAGGCTGGCCTTTAGTTACTTCACTTGACATCGCTCCCGGAGGTCCCTGGCCAGGGAGCGTCAGGTGGCAGATTTTTGCCTTTTTTCCTCAGAGCCCTGGGGCACATAAGGGCATGATTGTGCCCGTGCCCATCTCAGACTAAGATGAACCTTCTGTCCTTTCCCACTCCGTTAGGGCGTTCCCCCCCTGGGGAAGCTCTGTGCCCAGGCCCCACGAGGCCCCAGGAAGACACTTCCAGAAGGCAGCCGGACAGCTGCTGAGTCTAGGGCCCTGACCTGCCACAATGCAGAGCCCCCGGGTGGTCTCCCTGCTCCAGCAGGGTCCTGGGTTCTAGAGCAGTCCTGGATCACTCGTCCTGAAGGTGGCTAAGTTGAGGAGGGTACTGGTTTCGTGCCCACCTTCCTTAAACACCCCAGTGACAGCCCAGTGCCACATGGACACCATTGCCCGCCTCGTCTTAGGGACGGGGGACTGGGGCTCTGGGCACAGCCGAGGGAGATCAGAGCCCCTTGAGGAGCTTGAGTCCTGCTGGCCATCAGCCTGGCATTCCCTTGTTCCCTGCAGGGCGGTGGGAGCTTTTGTTCTGGTGTGTAATTAGCATGGCTCCAGGACTAATGACAGTGTGTGTGCCTTCAAAGGGCCCGGCCTGCCCCACCCACAGCTCAGAGAAAGCCCAGGGACTGCATGGCGCTGCTGCCCACCGTGCTGGGAACAGACGTCCACTGCCGCCCCTCTCCTGGCCCTCTGGGGCCGCCCTGCCTCCATCACAGCCCCCCAGAAACCTGTGTCTTAACTTTCTTGCCACAGTGCCAAAGTCCAGTTCTGATGGCCTACTGTTTAGAAGCAGGAGCTGAGTTCAGGCCTGCCAACTCCAATGTGTCTTCTAGCCCCATTCAAAACAGTTGGTCCAGACCAGCCCAGGCAGGCAAGGCTGGGAGACTCAACACGCAGTACCAAAAAGCTGGAAGTGGAGCTGTGACTCAGCACTGACAGCATCCAGGCCCTGAGTTCAAGCCCTAGGACCAGTACACACACCCATAGCTGGGCTTAGAGATTTCCTGGAGGGAAAGAAGGAAGGTTCCAGAATTGTTTAGGATGCCCCTGGTTGGACAGCCCCATGAGTGCTGTGCTGTTGTCCAAGTGCCCTCTGCCCCTCTCCCCAGGGAAGGAGGCGATGCTGAAGCACCGCGACTACGAGACGGCCACTCTGTCTGACATCAAAGCTCTCATCCGCAAGCACGAGGCATTCGAGAGCGACCTGGCCGCCCACCAGGACCGTGTGGAGCAGATCGCCGCCATCGCCCAGGAGCTCAAGTGCGTGTGGGCGTGGGGCCCTTCCCTTTACCTCCCGCCAGACCCCCGGGCTCCCCCACACCTCATGGCCAACCCCTGTCAGCCCCCTGTGGGGGAGCTGCTTTACTTCCACAGCGACACAGGCCATCCTTTGTTCTGCTGGCCCTTCCCCGGGCAGATAAACTTGGGCACAGTTAGTACACGGCGCCCTGGAGCCGTGAATGGGGCCTCAGTCCTGCAGCAGCCCGTGGCAGGGAGGGCCCAAGGCAAAGGATGCCCCGGCCATTACTTCATGGAAAATGCACCAGCCTCCCAAAAATAGCCATCCGCTCCAAAATAGGATCCTTGGCTGGAGCTGCCCTCTCCACAGACATGCCCAGTGTTCTGCCCTCTGCAAGGAAAGGGCAGGGCCAGCTTCCGTCTGCAGATTCCCCTCCCCCCCCCCAGGCTGTGGGCATTAGGACTGGGTGCACTAGACCCCACTATAGACTCCATGGGACACTTGCTGGGGGCGGGGGGCTGCACAGGAGAGCATGGTACAGGTGCCAAGACTACAAGGATATGAGACTGGCAGGATGCCCCCCACACACACACACCTAGGGGAGCCCCTGGAATTTGGGCCAGCCAGCCACGTGAAACCCACTCACGTGAAGCTAAAGCCGGCTCTGGGCGCTTGCCTGGAAGGAAGGTTGTTGAGGTGTCACATGCACCTCTGGGATGAGCCTGCTGGGCTCATTTAATCCCCACAACAACCTGTGTCACATGGGGAAACTGAGGCACGGAGAGACCACAGGCCTGGTGAAAGATGACCCAGTTAGAGTAGAAGCTGGGGGTGACAGCATTTTCCTCCCAGTCCCTGCCTGCTCCGCTCCTCTGCCCTGTCCCGTCCACTGGTCTGGCTGCTCGCCCTCTCCGCCCTGCAGTTACTCCCTCCCAAACCTGCACGGCTCACAGCCTGCTGCACCAGGCTTCCAGAAGAGAGCACCCTCATGGGCAGGAGGGCCCGAGCCTCATTTACTGTTATTTCCAATATAGTAGTAAAGTAGTGCAGGCATAGCATCCTGGTCTCAGAATTAAAAAAAAGAGGAGGATCCTAGAGTAGCACCCTGGGCTGCAGGCCTGGGCACGTGCTGCCCCCGCTAGGCCTTCTGCTCTGAGTCTTGAGTAGACCTGCCACAAACGTCCCCTTTAGGCTGGGTGCTACCAAGCCTGGGACCCTTCCCCCTAGGGTGTTGGGTGCCACCAGGGCTCACTGCTGTCCATCTGTCCTGCAGCGAGCTGGATTACTATGACTCCCACAACGTCAATGCCCGCTGCCAGAAGATCTGCGACCAGTGGGACGCCCTGGGCTCCCTGACCCACAGTCGCAGAGAAGCGTTGGAGGTGAGGGGGGAGGGGCAGGGCGACGCCCAGACCCAGGAGCTTCTCCCAGGGGCTGGGTAACTCCTCAGCACCTTGGCCGCTCCCCACTGGCAAGCTGATATGCCTTCCCACCTTCTCAGAAAACAGAGAAGCAGTTAGAGACCATTGACCAGCTGCACCTGGAGTATGCCAAGCGGGCCGCCCCCTTCAACAACTGGATGGAGAGCGCCATGGAGGACCTGCAGGACATGTTCATTGTCCACACCATCGAGGAGATCGAGGTCTGCCCCACTTCCCCCCTGCCCCACGCCAGATCCCTGGGGAGCCAGGCCACCCCTTCATGCCTGCTCTTCTTCCCCACCAGGGCCTCATTTCGGCCCACGACCAGTTCAAATCCACCCTGCCGGATGCTGACCGCGAGCGGGAAGCCATCCTGGCCATCCACAAGGAGGCGCAGAGGATCGCTGAGAGCAACCACATCAAGCTGTCAGGCAGCAACCCCTACACCACCGTCACCCCCCAGATCATCAACTCCAAGTGGGAGAAAGTGAGTCGGGCCCCCACCCCCACCCCCCACCCCAGAGGCAACGCTGGGCCCAGCCGTGTGGGGAAGGAGCCCATCCTCACGCCCCCTGCTGGTGTCTCCCAGGTGCAGCAGCTGGTGCCCAAGCGGGACCACGCGCTCCTGGAAGAGCAGAGTAAGCAGCAGTCCAACGAGCACCTGCGCCGCCAGTTTGCCAGCCAGGCCAACGTGGTGGGGCCCTGGATCCAGACCAAGATGGAGGTGAGGGCCCAGCAGACTGGTGTGCGTGAGATTGGCTGTGCCAGGCAGAAAGCTGCTGGGGGCTTGGTGGGCTCAACTGGCCCTCCAGGGTGCTGTGCCAGGACTGTCACGGCTGCCGTGGGAGGGTTTACAGCAGGTGCCGGAGGACGCTCTGCGCGCCAGGCCTCATAGGCCTCCATCTCCTCGTCTGTCTGTCCACTCCGGACATGGCCCCACTATGCCTGCTTGTGCCCAGGTTGGCGGGGCTCAGTGACGGCACAGGCCTTGCACGTCAGCACCCCACGGGGCCGCCCCTCCCCAGCCCACGTGTGCCTCCCCTCCCCACAGGAGATAGGCCGCATCTCCATCGAGATGAACGGGACGCTGGAGGACCAGCTGAGCCACCTGAAGCAGTACGAGCGCAGCATCGTGGACTACAAGCCCAACTTAGACCTGCTCGAGCAGCAGCACCAGCTCATCCAGGAGGCCCTCATCTTCGACAACAAGCACACCAACTACACAATGGAGGTGCACAGCCTGCCCCGCCCTGGCACCCTGGAAAACATTCTAGACTATGTGCACACTTGTAAAATGCTCCCTCCCCCCACCACCCCCAGCCTTGCAGGGCAGTCGCCATGACTGCACCCACCTTGGGCTACGTGTCTCTGGGGACCCAGAAGGGCCACATTTCTCACCCTGGGGTAGGAGCCAGGGACTCTGCAGCGGGTCCTGTTGGTAGTTGGATCTAAGCTGCGCCACAGACCGCCAGCCTGGCCTGCTCCCTACAGAGCCATTGTTGAGCAGGCCGCGCATGTGCACAGAGCGCCTACGTGAATCTTGGCCGCTCATGCACACTGGTTGGCATGGGCAGCCCGGGTGTAGGAGAGTAAGGAGCTGTAGCCCCACACACTGTGGGCAGCCCATGGCAGCCTCAGCCCATGGCCACGCCTGTTCCTCCGCAGCACATCCGTGTGGGCTGGGAGCAGCTGCTCACCACCATTGCCCGCACCATCAATGAGGTGGAGAACCAGATCCTCACCCGCGACGCCAAGGGCATCAGCCAGGAGCAGATGCAGGAGTTCCGGGCCTCCTTCAACCACTTCGACAAGGTGAGCCGCCCCTCCTCTTTCCTGTCCTGTCCTCCCTCTGTGTTGTCACTGTCCTCCCTCCCTGTTCCGGCCACGTGTGTAGTCTCGTGTTAGGGTCTGGGTGCAGCTATAGAGACCCTAAACAACACTGTGACCCTGTCCCCACCTGGCCTGCTCTGCTGGCCTCTCACCCCGAGTCCCCAGGCCTCCGTCCTCAGTGCCTCCATCCTGTGTACCAGACACAGGCAGGACCAGGGTCCACACCAGCTCCTGGCCACCACCCCGTGTCTGTGATCGCCTCTAATTCTGTGTTTCCCTCCCCCGTGTCCTCCGCCCTCTGCATGCGGCCCGGCCCCTTCCCCACTCCACGGCCTGGTGGCGTCGCCCCGCACGCCTGCCTTCGATGGCCCCGGCAGGACCATGGTGGGGCTCTGGGGCCCGAGGAGTTCAAGGCCTGCCTCATCAGCCTGGGCTACGACGTGGAGAACGACCGGCAGGTACGCGCACGGGTCCCTGGACGTGGCATTAACCGCTCTTCTTTCTCTCCTCTCTCCTCCCGGCCATCCTGCCCATCTCACCGGCTCTCACCTCTCCCTGCCCTCCTGTCTCTCACCTGTCCCCTTACCTCATCTCTCCCGGGGCCTCCCGTGTCCCTGCTCTGCACTGTCCTGTCTCCCCGCTGCGCGCACGGGGCGCCCCTCTGCCTCCTCTGCTATGGCTGCGTCCATCCGGGAGCAGAAGCAGACAGGCAGCATGGACTCCGATGACTTCAGGGCTCTGCTTATCTCCACAGGATACAGCCTGGTATGCAGCTCCCGCCCGCCTCTGCCTCCGCTCCACTCGCCTCCCTCCCGCCCCTCACCTCCTCCTCCTCCTCCTCCTCTCCAGTGCCACTTCCTGCTCCTCCTGCCCTCCCCCGGGACGCTCCTGCCTGCCTTGCCAACTCCTCTTCCTGCAAGCCTCGGGGCAGCGCCCCCCACTCCGTCTTTTCTCTCTCTCCCCCCCCACCAGAGCTGACTCGAGTTTGGGGGCAGTGCACCCCAACTTCCCATCTCCCGAGACTGGCAGGGGTGTGGCAGGCTGACCACTCAGCCCTATTCTGCCACTTGCCTTCCCGAAAGCAAGCCACTGGCACTGCCCGGCTAAGCCCCATCTGCCTGCCCACCCCGCCCCGCAGGGTGACGCCGAGTTCAACCGCATCATGAGCGTGGTGGACCCCAACCACAGCGGCCTCGTGACCTTCCAAGCCTTCATCGACTTCATGTCACGGGAGACCACCGACACGGACACGGCTGACCAGGTCATCGCCTCCTTCAAGGTCCTGGCAGGGGACAAGGTAAGCAAGAGCCCACCGAGGCACTGGGACTGGGTAGGCCAGGTCGGCGCAGGGGTGTCGTGACTCCATCCTGCCTGTACTCCAGAACTTCATCACAGCCGAGGAGCTGCGGAGAGAGCTGCCCCCCGACCAGGCCGAGTACTGCATTGCCCGCATGGCGCCCTACCAGGGCCCCGATGCCGTGCCCGGCGCCCTCGACTACAAGTCCTTCTCCACGGCCCTCTATGGCGAGAGCGACCTGTGAGGGCTCCTGACTCCCGGACCAAAGCCCCTCGGCCTCCCGGCGGGGCTGGGGGTACCCTGCCCCACCCCGACTCTTGTATCTATGCAAAGCCCTCTCTGTCGGTCCCTGGGGGCAGTGGGCAGAGAGGAGCTGGCAGGCTCTCTCCTCTCTCTGGCAGTCGGCCAGGGGCTCCCCCCCACACCTGGAAGGGGGACGGAGGCCGGGGTCAGCACCTCTGGTCTGGTAAATACGTACATTTTTTTAAATCTTACGTGGAGGGGACAGAGGCTCCATGCCTCCCACACCCAGGCCAAAGCCCCACGTGCCTTGTCCAGGAACCGCCCCGCAAGGTCCAGCAGAGGGCGCTGCTGCTCCGCTGAACCAGACCCCGCCAGCTCCCTCTCCCTTCCCCAGTGGGACTCGATGGTGAGTGCCAGGCGCCCAGGACCCTGCCATCACCCCCTTACTTTGTCTGGACTCGAGGTCTCAATTTTTTTTTTTTCTAAGGACCAAAACCAACAAAATCATACAAAAAAAAAATGAACAAGAAGAAAAAAAACCTATAAAAAAAAAACCCTTCAGAGAATTCCTATTTACTTTATTAACTTACGGATTTATTATATAAATATATATTCACCTAGCAACGTATCTTCGCCTCTCTTGCTCTCTAATGAAGACATAGCTGATTGGCTGCCCGCCCGCACTGATCTTCCTCAGTGTCTGTGCTGGCAGGGTCTGGGGGGACCACCTCCGGGGTGGAGGGGGCTGCTGGCCTGGCTGCCTGCTAGTTGATGGTTTTGCCCTCCTCTCCCCTCTTGAGTTTATTCTGATTTTCTTGGTTTCTGGATAAACCACTCTTCTGGGGACAGGATAATAAAACATGTAATATTTTTAAGATGGATTCCTAGCGTCCTCTTTCTGTGACGTCCATGCAAGGGTGTGGTCTCAGCAGAGTGGGGGCTCTCACGTAGGTGGCAACAGGAGGTGGGGGGCGCAGGATGATGTGGAGGTGGCCCTAGACGATAGGTGATGGGCAGGTGCATGCGTGCTCAGCTGCAGTGCTGGGTTGAGGGCGCCCCTAGGAGAAGGAGGCCACCTCCGACCACTGGGGAGAAAGCGGGGCGTGAGCTCCGGCCAGCGCCCGCCCCAGCCACCCAGCCCACCGCCCAGCTCACCTGTCTGTGGGTCAGGCACACGACCCCTTCGCCCCCAGCTAGGTGCTGGCTGCAGTGTCCTGTGCAGAGAGGAGCAGGGTAGCTGCCGGCCCTCAGCCGAGGGTGCCCCCCCTGCACCCCTCCACATCGGGATGGGCACTCACGGAAGATGCAGGTGAGCTGGGCCGCGCAGGACACGAAGCGCTCCAAGTCCACCCGCAGGCGGCTGTCCCGGTAGCGGCTGGTGAGGGCCTGGGTCAGCTGGTTGTTCAAGTGGAAGCCTGGGGGGCACCGCCCTGTGAGCCCCACACCAGCAAGGTACCCCCCCATCTGTGTAGGGGCCCCTGAACACGGTCTGCACCTGTTCCCTCCTGCTGGTTGGGGGCCACCAACCCTGTCTCCAAAGCTGCCGGACTCTCCCTCCCCACGGGTCCACCTGGACACGTCGCTGCCGCCACCCCATGTTGCAGCAGCAACTCACCTCTGCCATCGTGTCCATGGGCTCCCAAAAGCCCCAAGCCCTGCGCCCCTCAAAGTCAAGGCTGGGACGCAGCACCCAGAGGAAAGGCGCCTGAGGATTCCACCAACACTCACCAGAATCCAGAACATCCTCCACCAACACTCACCAGAATCCAGAACATTCTACTGAATAAGCCTGAGCTTCAAGACAGCAGCTCCCAATGCTCCTTCCTGGAGCCCCTCCCACCCCTTCCCAGTCCTCTGTGCCCCTTCACCCTCTCTCCATCCTCCTGGCCGCCGGGCACACCTGCAGCGTTCAGCGCCAGCCTCAGCTCATAGGAGTTCATGGTTCCTGATGCGTCCTCATCGAACTTGTCAAATGTGCCCTGTGTGGGGAGACAAGGGTCAGCCCCTTGGCCCTGCAGGGGTGCTCGCTACCCTGAGTGGGAACCTCAGGGCCAGCTCCCCTTCCTCCAAGTGGGGATTATGGGCCACAGCACCTCTGCTTGCTCTTCCCTGGCCAAATGGCCATCTGACCACCACATAAAGCCTCAATGTGGCTGCTTACTGCTGTTTCTAGAACTTTCCTTTGTTTCCTCCTTGCACGGTTCTAAGCATCCTTTGTAGCCAAGGAAAAAGATCCCCTCAGAGGGAGGTGATATGCTTCAGGTCCTCCAGCCAGACCCAGAGGCTGTGGAATCAATTCTTGAGGGGCCAGACGACCTAAAGGGGGTCTTGGTCCAGAAAACAGTTCAGGTGAGTCACCCCTCCTTACCTGCCACAACAGGAGGTGGCCCCAGAGCTCCTGGAAGTGGTGCAGAGACAGGCGGCCGCCGCGCTGTGCACAGGGACATCTGGTTAGGAACGAGGCCCATAGAAGAGGAGACCCCCACATCCTTATTCCTCCTTTCCAGCACTGCCTCCACGTACCCCAAAACACTGCAGCAGCTGCTCACAGGTCCTCAGTCCGATCTCTCCCCAGGTCCTCGTGTTGGCCCTGCCTACAAGAAAACACCCAAGGGGCTGGGAAGGTGGCTCAGTGGTAGAGTGCTTGCCTTGCATGCCTGAGGCCCTGGGTTCGATTCCCCAGCACCACATAAGCAAAAAGAAAAAAG